TTTTCCTACTTCACTCATTAGTTCAAGCATATTTCCATATGTTCATAATACATTTGTTTTTCTTCTTTGGTTAATTTTTCATTTCCTTCGCTCACCTTCCCTTATTGGTTTTCAACACAAGCATCAGACACAATTAAGAAATTTCTGGGTGGGGAGAAAGAATGCTCAGCCTGTATTCTGAAGCAAAAATTCTTCTTGTCTTCCCACAAGTCAAGATGTGTTAGCTTCAGGATTCACCTGTTTTTCGATAACATTGAAGCTATAGGTGCCAAAACAGAAAAAGGAACTATTTTTGTTTTGGTGTTGGTTCAGTGAGGGGAAGAATCTTAGCCTTTATAAGTGTAAGGAGGCAAGAATGAAACCAAAGCCTTCTTCAGAAGGAAGTTTTGTGCACAGAAAAAAAAAAGTGATCTAGAACTGTGGGATAGTAGGAGAGGGGAGCCTAATGGAAAGAAACAGGCAAGAGGCTCACCCATCTATCTTCACTTCTCACCAATGGCTGAACAGTGTTTGCACCTTCCCTTCCCCAGGAACCACCCCCGTGACTACTTCCCCAGTGGTTTCTCATTAACTCAGTGTTGCCAAATAAACGCATCATTTGTGTTCCCCCTCTTTAGTCAACCTACCCTTTCCTCCTGACCCTTTGACTTCCCTGCTGCTATTAATGAAATCACCCCCTCCCAATAATACAGGCTTACAACATCACAGAACTTTTTATTTTCATTCTTCCTTCTCAGATTTGACAAGAACTGGAGAGCCCACCGGAGTAAAATGGTTCCTTATATTCTCTCTCCCATTGCCCTAACATCTTTCCTTTTTTGTGTGCCTTTGAACTTCTTTTCAATCTTTAAAATTCAGATGACATGTCACCACCTCCAAGGGAGTCTTCCTTGACCACCCCCCTACACACACACACACCTTATAGATACCACATTATTTTTTCTTTAGATTATTTACAGGTTTTTCTCCTGTCCTTGAAGGCAGCAACTACGCTTTTTTCATCTTTATATCCCCAGCACTAATCATGGTGTCTGGTACATAATGGATGTCCAATGAAGTTTTATTGCATTGAATTGTTTAACTGCTATGAAATTTGAGCTCCAACAGTTCCATGTTCATATCAGCATTTAAGGTTTTTTATGCTATAACCCTAAGCTCCCATCTCCTTCTTCCTTGGGTACTCCAGACGGCAGCTGTCCCAATCTAGTCATCATTTCTCCACTGTATCTCTAGCTCCTATGTCTGTGCTTCTGCTCAGGCTTAGACATCCTTCCTCACTGTCTCCCAATAATTTGCCCAAATCTTGCTCATGTTTCTCAAGTCATCCCCAAAGTCAGTTATCAGAGGAGGCATTTCCTGATTCCCAACAGAGCCCTTCCTCCAAACACCCCTGAGCTCTGTTACTATCACCATCAACATGACACACTGACCGAATCTGTTTTTAATATGCACTTAATTGTATTTTTTTTTTGCTCTGAGGATTAAATGAAAGTCCTATGAATAAAAAAATTTTTTTTTAAATTAGCTATTGTTGGGGCACGTGGAGGGTCAGTGGGTTAAAGCCTCTGCCTTCGGCTCAGGTCATGATCCCAGGGTCCTGAGATAGAGCCCTGCATCGAGCTTTCTGCTCAGTGGAGAGCCTGCTTCCTCCTCTCTCTCTCTCTGCCTGCCTCTCTGCCTACTTGTGATTTCTGTCAAATACGTAAAAATTTTAAAAAAATAAATTAGCCATTGTTTTCCATCACCCACTGTTAGTCTGAGATTCTTGAAACAAGATATTTTTACACCAACCAAAGCATCTAGTCCAGCTCCTGGCACCTAGTAGCCTCTAAAAATACCAATTATAAGAAATATCACAGACCAAATGGTGATTTAGGCCTTGCTTTCCCCAATCTCCTCACCAATATGCTTTCCCTAATACTCCCTTCTCATTGCCAAAACAAGGCTGCTCAATCACCTATAATTATCACTTCCTCAGAGAGACCTTCCTTGCCCGCCAAATCTAAGGTAGCTCCAGGCCATTATCTATAATCCCCAAAACAGAAAACATCATGACTATCTTGTTCCCTGCTGAAACAGATATTTCTTAACTAATCATTTGTCTCTTACATATTTTGTAAAAAATTTCTTCAAGTCTGCTGTTAATTTTTTAACTTTAAATATTCCACATATATATTCTATTACACACACATACACATATATCTATCTATCTATATATGTATATATATATATATAGAGAGAGAGAGAGATTTGGCAACACACACACACATACGCTCTCTTCCTTCCATCATGGCTTTTGAAATTCTCTCTCTCTCTCCATATATATATATGTTTTTTCTTGCTTGATCAAGCTATGCAAATACGTAATAAAGAATTCAGAGTACAAAAACACAAATCCTAGGGGTATATATATATGGTATATATATATGGAGAGAGAGAGAATTATAAATATATATAATATACATATAAATATATAAATATATATAATATACATATAAATATATATAAATATACATTTATATATTTAATACTCCCTTCCAATATATACCTAGAGGTTAAAAAGTTGAAAAGCCATCTTTTTAAAGGTCTTGAAGCATTTTGTCAAATTGGACATCTCCAGCCCTCCGACAAAAGTGTCACTTGCATTCTTAAAGTTCTACCAATGACCTTATGTGACCAGATTCTGCTAGGCCAGCTGGACAGAATTAATTTAGTGCTAGCTAAGCACACTCTCAAAAATTTCAGGAATCAGATGTGTAAATCAGGGGTGCTCTGTTCAGCACTGTGTACACTGCCCCCTGGTCATTAGCACCAAATCATTTGATAGTCCTCTCATGATTTACCTTTACTTGAATGAATGCACAAATTTGTCCATATCCATTGCACCCACATACTAATTCTCTTTGCTTTATTTCTGTAGGGACTGGATAACCTCCAAGATCTGTGGTCAGCTGGAGAACAAGTGCCACTTCTTTCCAGGTCACTCTCTAATTGTGGTAATACATAATGACTTAGCCAACTGTGTAAACAACTTTACCTGGCTATTCCGGTCCATTTATCACAAATGTTGCCAATTATAACAGTTTCCATCACAGAGAAATGACATAGAAGAATGCAATGCACTGTGAGGGTCATCTGGTAAATATTATTGGACAGGATGACATGGAGACAAATTTTGGTGACCTCAGTACACACTTAGCACCGAGCCATTTCTGTGAGCGTCATATGACTTCCCCTGATCTTTAGTCATCCTGAAACATGTAGGAAAATAGTGCTGGGTGATCCAGGAGAGCACTGGGTGGGGCTTTCCTAAACTACACCTGCCTGTAATACATCATTTTCCCTGGCCTTTCCTCTGCAAATTAAGGAGTGTAATTCTTTATAATATATATTTTTGCTTCGTCCAGATCCCACAGACATGGAAAGAAAAACAAATGCATTCTTTTACTTCTGTTCTTAAGATGTAATCCAGGCAGGGGAAAGTGGGGTGGATTTTTACCTTAATTTTTTCTTGCTTTGTCAGAGAGGGTTTTATTTCATTGTTTGACTTCTTATACCCATTTTTTTTTTTGTTTTGCTCTTCTTTTTTCTTTTCTTTGTTTTTTCTTGCTTGATTAAGCTATGCAAATATGTAATAAAGAATTCAGAGTACAAAAACACAAATCCTAGGGGTACCTTAGTGGCTCACTCAGTTGATCATCCAACTCTTGATTTCAGCTCAGGTCATGATCTGGGGGTGGTGGGATCAAGGTTGACATCTAGCTTCGACCTTCTGGAGCCTGCTTAAGATTCTCTCTCTCTCTCCCTCTGCCCCTCGTCCCCACTAGTGCACACACTCTCCTTCTCTCGTTCAAAAAAAATTTTTTTATATATTATGTATATGAAAATCATGGTGGTATCAAAACCTATCTCCAAGTGTAGATGCAATTTAGAGCTTCCGCCTTGTTTCCACAACTGTTTAAGCTTAAGTAGTGATAAAGCAGGGTAGGAATAACGAGGAAAAACCCGACTTGGTCCCAACCCTGATTGTTTCCACGGGAGGGGATTCAGAGAGGTCAATACAATAATATCAATAGCTACAATACAATGTCCTAAGTGACAAAGGCAATATTAGAAGGATGGAGGAGAGGCCATCAGGAAAGACCTCTTGCAGCACGCTGTGCTAGACATTTAAGAGCTGAAAAGAATGTCTTGGACAAATATTTGGACTAAGGACATTCTATACAGGAGGTCAGAGTGAATAAATTCTCTGATGGTAGAAGGCGGCGAGTTAAACTGACAAATTGATCCCTTTATAACTTTGTTTTTAATTAACAGAGTTAAGCCTAATGAAGAGACTGCCCTCCTGGAGAAAAACAAAAATTGATGGCCTTTTATGGCCACCAGGAAAAAGTAAATGTATTTTGGGAAGTTACCGAAGCCTTAGTGTCGCCAGAAGGAACTTCCAGTTCCCGAGCTGTACAGATGGCTCCTGGAGAAAAGACTAGAAACCACTCCTCAGGCTATTTATTTCCCTCACTGTCCACTGGCAGAGACGCTCATTTTGAACGCAGCTGATTGGCTACTGTAAAAGCCCGCTCTGAGCAAGAGCCAATGACATCCCGGAGCTCAGATTCTTGGAAATAGCTTCTGGTCAGGAATGCGTGACATTGAGACAGCTTCTCGCTTGTAAACAAGGACGAGTCTGGGCGGGCCCGCAGCCCACGAGGTCCGGGACTCCTGTCCAAGCGGCTGATCTTAAGCCTACATACCTCCAGGTGCCCGCTTCACCTTCCACCTTTCCCCTTACTCCTCACAGTCCCGGGCACTGGTGCCAGGTCTCTCCCGCGACAGGACCCCACGCCGGGGGGCGGGGCCCAAAGTTCTTTATCTGAGCTGATTGGCGCGGCCCCAGCTCCGGACGCGTCGCCAAGTCCCAGTGACTCCTCCCCTTTGGAGCTGGGGGGAGCGTGCGGGGAAACAAATAAAACCGCGGGAGGCGGCGGGGGGTGGCCAGACGGGAACTTGAGTCTCCAGACACTCGCTGCTCCTCACACTCACTGCCGGCCTCCTCCCCTCGGAAGCACCCCAGGATCTCAGCCCAGGCAGGGTGCACGAGCCAGCCCACCTGCCCTCCCTGCCCAGACGCGCACCGCCCCAGCTCGGTCCCAGGTTCTGCTTTCCTCGGCCTTCGTCCCCCAAGCCAGCCCTTGCGCTAGCCAGGCCGGGTGGGCATCAAGATGAAGGCGGCCCGCTTCGTGATGCGCAGCGCCGGCTCGCTGAGCAGCGCAGGCCTGGTGCCCCGCGAGGTGGAGCATTTTTCACGCTACAGCCCGTCCCCGCTGTCCATAAAGCAGCTCCTGGACTTTGGTGAGCTGGGAAGTAGGGCCGGGTGGGGGCGCTGGGGTTGGGAAGCTTCCTTAACTTTCAGCCCCCGAGCTCATTGCTTAAAATAACTGGAGTCTATTATCCTGCTGAACCTTGGAGCCTCGACGGCAGTGCACCTTGCCCTTTCCTAGATCTGCCTTATTTCTGACAGTTTGTGCCTACAGGTCAGGGCCACTTGCTGACCCGCTGATGCTGGATGGTTTGAGCTCATCTTTCTGTCCACAGCTTCCAGTCAAGATACTTTTTGCTTTGCGTCAGTATTTCGCAGTGATTTAAAAAACTTTATCCCCCTCCTTCACAGCATAATACTTTGTGGGGGAGGATTCTTAATGTTATAAAGTGGCCTCAAATTAATTCAGATTTTCTCCTTTAGCCACCTGCCACCTGTTTACGGGGTATATACATCTCTCTGCATTGCTAACAGATTTCTTTGTCTCTTTACCATTATGGTTTTCCATATATTTGCATTACTGCCAAAAATGTTTACAGACTTTCTGCAGTGATTTTTTTTAAGATTTTATTTATTTGACACACAGAGAGATCACAAGTAGGCAAAGAGCTAGACAGAGAGAGAGATAGGAAGCAGGCTCCCTGCTGAGCAGAGAACCCCATCCATCCCAGGACCCTGAGATCATGACCTGAGCCGAAGGCAGAGGCTTAACCCACTGAGCGACCCAGGCGCCGCTCTGCTGTGATCTTATAAGGAATATTTCAAGGATTTAAATGTGGTATTATTTACCACTAATGTGGAAACATCATGACTCCTACCCACCCTTTTATTCCTCTACTCCAATTTCATATCTAGAACTCTCTGTACGATGTTGTGGGGTTGACATTGTGCTGTTGACTGAGCTATGGGATATTCTGACTTCATGGAAGTGAATCCTCTTCCAAAAAAAGAAAGCAATAATCCTCATATTGGTCTTTCTTTTTTTTTTTTTTTAAAGAAAGTAAAGAAAAAGACCATGAAAAAGGAGATACTTCTTACTTTAAACAGTAATCCAACGGCAGGTGAAACTCTAATTTTATGATTTGTGTGTGGGTTCAATATTGGAGAGTTAATGCTATTCAAATGTATCATTTAGAGCTACTTTTTCCCCAAAACTAAATAAAGGTTATTTATTACAGGTTCAGAAAATGCATGTGAAAGAACTTCTTTTGCATTTTTGAGGCAAGAATTGCCTGTGAGGCTAGCCAATATCCTGAAGGAAATTGATATCCTCCCTGATCAATTAGTCAATACCTCTTCAGTGCAATTAGTTAAAAGCTGGTAAGTGGTGAACCATTCCGAAACAGTCTCTATTTTTAAGACAATTATTTGTATACGAATTCTTATAATATATTAGCATCATAATTGGAAAACGAGTGGCCTGAAACTAAGTATTTTGAAGAATGTCAAGATGTTTTTGTAATTTATTTATTTATTTATTTGTTTTTAAGATTTTATTTATTTATTTGACAGACAGAGAACGCAAGTAGGCAGAGAGACAGAGGGAAGCAGGCTCCCTGCCGAGCAAAGAGCCTGATATGGGGCTCGATCCCAGAACTCTGGGAGTCATGACCTGAGCCAAAGGCAGCAGCTTTAACCCACTGAGCCACCCAGGTGCCCCTGTTTTTGTAATTTAGTGTGAGTTGTCATAAGGACAGTTATAAAGCTATGAACAGACATTTTGCCCTGAAAAAGTACATACTTTTCACAATATAACTATATTTTGAATAATAAAAGACAGAGTTTGATATTGCACACAGAATCCTATCCTAGAAATAAACAGAAGGATGGCTATTTAGAGGATCTAATCTTTGTTACTTACAAACTAATTAACAGCAGGCTTTGGGTTCAAATCCTGTCTCTACCTCTAACCGGTTGTGGAATTCATGGCAAGTATCTTAAATTCTTTATGCCTCAATTCCCCCATCTGTTACTGAGGAAAATAAAGTATATGCTTCAAAAGTTTATGTGAGTGAAATTAAATGGGCTAATCCATAAAAAAAAAGTACTTAAAACAGTACCTGGCACACAGTCACCACTTAATAATTGTCAGTTATTATCATCGCATTTTACAGATAAGGATTTTGAGGCTTGGAGAGGGTAGATCACCCAACAGAACAAATTTTCAGAGAATGGAACCAGGATATGCACTGAGGCGGGTATATACCAGAGCCTCACCCTAATTCACTGACTACACAGCTTTACTGATTTAAGAAATCTATATATATTATAAATATTATAAATGTATATTATATGATTGTGTATATTATATAAGTATATTTATAATATATTAATAAATATATATCTATATTATATACTATAAATATAAAATAAACATTATATTTATAATAATTATTTAATATAAATATATACCATAAATATAAATAAGTATTATACTTATATAAATATAAGTATTATATATTATAAATAAATATATAAATATAGATTATTAAACAATTACTATCTGAAACACATCATCCATAGTATTTACTGATGCTTTCATGACTCCTACTCACCTATGAGTGAATATAGCAGGAAAAATATGAAGCCTTCCTTAAAAAGTTTTTTTCTAAATGTTATAAAAAAAGAAAACACTTGCCAGATAAAACAAAAAACTGACTACTGATCTGGAATGATTGAAGAAATATCAATTTTAAGTTAGAAAGTTGAGTGTTAAAGTCGTAGCTTCGTTTTTTGTTGTTTTTGTTGTTGTTTGGTTTTTTATTAAGATACAGTGTTTTCCAGATGTCTTGAAGAAAAGTTTTAATTTTAAACATAATACTTTCTCTTTTGCAATCATTTTTAAATGATTTAGCTACTTGTATCTGACTATTCAACTTTAAAGCTTAAAGCATGACTGTCCCTTTACAGGTATATCCAGAGCCTGATGGATTTGGTGGAATTCCACGAGAGAAGCCCAGAGGACCAGAAAGCATTATCAGAGTAAGTTCTATGCATTTGAATATGTGTCCAAAACTTTGACTATTTCCAGACATACTTCTAAGATTTTTTTTTTTTTTGGACATAAATTAAAGGGGCTACACTCTGAATAACAAATAGCCTCTCCCTTACAAATGACAAGTTTTGACTTGCTGGTTTTTTAAAAGTGAAGAGGAATGATGGCATTGAAAATGATGCTGAGTCTGAGCAAGTGCAGGGAACTTTTTATTTTTGAGGAAACCTATTTTTACTATAAATTCAGTCAGATGATTAGATTCACAGGTGGATTTACTATTACATAATATTAATATATGTCATTGTTACTGGAGATTGAACATTATCTTTCAGAGTAACTGATCGTTTCTGGCTATAAGAATAGGAAAGAAGAATCTTTTTATAAATCCGAGAAGAAATCTTGAGGGTTTTTTCCACAGTGGCACTCTAGAATGCTCTGTAATATGAATTATCTTTTAATTCTTATTTTTTAAAGAAAAGGCTTAATGAATTCCCAGAATGAATTTACCAGTTAGAAAGCCGGTATTTTTACATTAAGCTAGAAGGAAAAAAAATCTGTTTGTGATACTATCTTTTCTATTGTAGTAGAATCTGTAAGTGAGAACCTTACATTTTATCATTTGATTTCTTTAGATGGGTACTTAAAAAAGTTTTAGCCTTCTTTGGGGTAGTCTAAGGGATGTAAGTGAAGGAAACTTACTTGAATTTTCAGTAACTGTAAATGTGTTTTGGCTTAGTTTTGTAGATACTCTCATCAAAGTTCGAAATAGACACCACAGTGTAGTTCCGACCATGGCACAAGGAATCATAGAATATAAAGATGGCTGTACAGTTGACCCAGTCACCAATCAAAATCTTCAGTATTTCTTGGATCGATTTTACATGAACCGTATTTCTACCCGGATGCTGATGAACCAGCATAGTAAGTTAGCTCCTTGTGGTCGTGACCTACTGAGAAGGGTGTGGAATATAAGCCATACCCCAACCAGATGTTTCATTATTCAGGGGCTCACGTTCTTTTTCAATAATCATGATTATCCTGATTTTTATAACACCATCTTTTGTTCTTGTTTTTCAACAGTTCTTATATTTAGTGACTCACAGACAGGAAACCCAACTCACATTGGAAGCATTGATCCAAACTGCGATGTGGCAGCCGTGGTCCAAGGTAATCTCTAGATTTCTGCATTTCTCTTATTGAAAATATATGCTATGCGATTGACATATCTCTGGTTGAAGTGAGTTAGTGAATAACTTTATATTCGGAGTGATCCATTTATATTTTTATAAATATTGTCATGGAGGTCCTTTGCTTTTGAGAGCCAGGGGTTTAAAACTCATTAATAAAATTATAAAAATCCAAACATTACTGGTTAATGTGCCATATTCTTATATATCGTATCCAGTATCTGAATTGTGCGTATTCCTATTGCCACAGCTATAACTTCAACACTATCTTCATTTTTTCTTCAATAAAGTATTAAAGAGGTTTTTTTTCATATATAGAAACCTGTACTCTCAATGAATATTCTAGACTAAGGGTAGTACACACATTGAAGATCATGTGAAAATTTTACTTGGCATAAATTCATTTCATCATTATGAAAAAAACCTTCTATTTCAGATGCCTTTGAGTGTTCAAAGATGCTTTGTGACCAGTATTATTTAACATCTCCAGAATTAAAGCTCACACAAGTAAATGGTAAGCTACAAATAAACCATATTTTAATCTATGGGAAAGTCACTGTTCTCCCAGTATGATTACTTCTTGTAAATACAAAGCAACTTCTGTGTTCCTTTTCTCCCTTCTGACCTTCTCTAGAATTTGTACACTTCTCTTTTGAAGCCAAAGTTCTCTTCATCTCAGTTGGAAAGTTCCAACTGAGTATATTCAGTTGTTAATGATGATTCATAAAACGGAATGGTTTGAACAAATAATTTAAGATTTAAAGTAGCAACCTAGTTTCCATATCTTAGATCAAAGAAAGAAAGCTTATTGCAAAATATGGGAGTCAGGGAGGCCAGAAATAGGAGGAACCACTTGGTAGTGGAAATATCCTCCTGGAGAAGTTACTCATAAGACCTAGAAACAAAAATACTTTAAATTGTACTGTAAGAGATAAGCCAGTCATGGACAAATACTGTGTGATCCCACTTACCTGAAGTATGGAAAATAGTTAAATCCAGAGAGGCAGAAAGTAGAATGGTGGTTGCCAGAAGCTGGGGGCTGGGGTAAAGGGGAGTTGCTATTTAATGAGTATAAAATTTCAGTTATGAAAGATGAATAAGTTCTAGAAATCCACTGTACAACATTATGCCTACAATTAACAATACTATATTGTATATTTAGGTAGTTAAGAAGGTAGATCTCATGTTAAAAGTTCTTTTAAAAATGTTTTTAAATTACAAAAAAAATTAAGTGCACTGTAAGTATACACTACTCTTTTGGAAGCAGAGCATAACTCAGTGGCTTCAGCTCTAGGGTACCTGAGAAGGTAGGGTCTTCCCACATGGAAGTGATAATATAACGAATGCAGGGCGCTGTTTTTATTGTATCCCGTAGTGCTTCTCAGAGCAGGACAGTTAAAATTAAGTTGCTCACATTAAAAGTACCCTAACTCTAACTCATGGATTGGGTTATATGTACATGTAATTGATTGCTAAATTAAAAATAGGAATACAGATAAAGGTTGAAAAATATCTCTAAGCATTAACAGCATTGTTGCATAATACGTGTAGACAAACTGCTTGAACTGTTTGATAAAATAAAGAGGGAATTGTGCCAGGCCTTCTGTTTTCTGATTCAAACTTGGCCAAGGCCTGGGACACCAAAGAATAATACTTTGATTTTTCTTCTCAAACAGTATTAAGAGGTTTTTGTTTCTCTGTTTTCTTTTGCCTCTCAGTAAAATGTAAGCATATTTAGCCTGTAAGATTTAATGTTTGGGTAATATGAATCAAGAATAATCAAATGTGTTATTTTCCCATAAAATACGAAAATTTTAGTTAACATTAATTTCAGTATTATACTGTGGCTACATGAATTTTTTTCTTTCTTAAAATGGTGATTTTAACTCTGAAATAGCACAGTATGAAAGTTTTGAAAGCAGAAACAAATAATTCATGTAACCTAATTTAGAGCACGCTTGTCATGCACTTCATCTGACCTCATACATTTGTAGAGAAATGCAGAAATTAATCATAGAGCACAAGGCAGCAGCCGTGATAGCATTTTGAAAATAAGCCAGCTGTGTTTACTGTTTAAGAGGGAAGTTCTAGGATAGATCCTAGAAGGTTCTAGGGTAGTACAGGAAGATGGGGTGTATTCTAATCTTGGGAGTAAGGAGTCTCTATTAATCAAATAGATACAGAAGTTTGTCTTCCTGAAATACTTGTTCACCAGTTCTAAATGAGTTTAAATTTTTTTCTAGGAAAATCTCCAGGCCAACCAATTCACATTGTTTATGTACCTTCTCACCTTCATCATATGCTCTTTGAACTATTCAAGGTATGACACTTCCAAATAATTGCAATCTTGTTTTGTTTTTAATTCACTGGTTACATTTTTATTTCCTTTATTGTTTCCCACTGAGTGGGAGCCTCACTATCTTCTCCCAAACGTGCTTCAGGGCTCCTAACAGAAAGGAGCCGCAGTTAATGTTGGAAAGGGCCCCCACAGTTCAGCAGAGCCTCCACACGTACTGGAGAACACATGATAGGACTCACGATGTCTTTGAGCTCCCTGTTCTTATTATTTTTTCAAGTGTCCAACAAAGCGCTAGTCATACATGCAATTGTTAAGGAAGGTCGGGGGGTGAATGCTGCAGTGAATGGGGGCCTTGTTACGTCCACCCCTGCAGGATGGTCCAGCTCCAAATCCAGATGTTCAGGTCCAGAGTTACTGCAGGTGGCAGGGCTCCAACGTGAGTCTAAAATATACTCAGAAGGCAGTCAGTTCCCTCCATGATCAACTTTAATGTGCCTATGAACCATCTGGGGTTTTGTTGAAATTCTGATTCAGTGGCACTAGACTGGGGCCTGGGGTTTAGAATTTGTAATAAGCTGACGGGTGATGCTGCTGGTTCACATTCCACACTTTCCGTCGTAAGACTATAGGACAGTGCTTCTCAAACTTCAGTATGCATTGGAATCACCGGGAGGGCTTCTTTCTTCCTTCCTTTCTTTCTTTTTTTTTTGAAGATTTTATTTGTTATTTGACAGAGAGACAGTGAGAGAGGGAACACAAGCAGGGGGAGTGGGAGAGGGAAAAGCAGGCTTCCCGCCCAGCAGGGAGCCCCATGTGGGGCTCAATCCCAGGACTCTGAGATCATGATCTGAGCTGAAGGCAGATGCTTAACAACTGAGCCCCCAGACGTCCCTGGAGGGCTTCTTTAAACATAGATTTTTAGACACTGGTCCAGAGATTCTGATTCTGTACATCTGAGAATTTGCATTTCTAACAAGCTCACCAAGGATGTGAATGTTACTGGTCTGAGGTAGCCAGGTACCAAGAATCAAATCCTGTCCTAGGTTCTAAGACAAAGCTAAAACTATATTTACACCAAAAAAAAAGAAAAAACACCCTAAGCTTTATGATGCTTTCCATGAATCTCCTGGACTCCTTGAGGAGGAAGCCTTAAAAAAAGTGAAATTTGCCTCTAATTCTGATACAGCTTTTCTCAGAATTTATTGTTTCTTTATTCTAATGTTAGTGTAATGAGGTATTGATTGTACTACAGACATTATGATCTATTTTCTTTTACTTCAGCTAATGATTAGAACTTAGTATTATATAGAGGGGCACCTGGGTGGCTCAGTGGGTTAAGGTCTCTGCCTTCGGCTCAGGTCATGATCCCAGGGTCCTGGGATCAAGTCCTGCATTCCATCCGGCTCTCTGCTCGGCGGGGAGCCTGCTTCCCCCTCTCTCTGGGCCTGCCTCTCTGCCTACTTGTGATCCCTGTCTGTCATATGAATAAATAAAATCTTTTTAAAAAAATTTTTTAAATTACAAAAAAGAACTCAGTATTATATAGAAACCAGAAAACAGATAATGTACCACAAGGAGGTTAGAGAGGAAAATGGGTGACGTAAACCAAAACTTAATCTGTATGAGACCTATCCAGTTGTCTGCAAACTTGAGTTTCTTCTCTGTTAAAGGACACAAGATACTTTTTGCCTTGATTTCATTCATTTTGAAATTGAATGGTCCAGCTCTTAGAGTTGTTTTGCCATCATTGGTAAAAGTTAAGATGATAATCAAATGCAAATTGAAACTTAATTTAGAATTATTTACTATCCTTTTAAATAGTAACAACCTTTCCCAGCAAGTTTTATAAAAGCCAATAAATTGGTTCAATGATTCACTGTTCATTTGTTATGTAATAGTCTTTGGTGCTTGGATGTAAAATGTAATGGAAAGACAGAAAAGAGAGAGCCAGGAAATGGACTATAAAAACCAATTTCTACATTTAAATTAAGCTTACAAATAAGAACTTGACAGCTAGCAGAATTATTTTTCCATTAGACATTACTCCCAGGAGCTATATTACATGGTAAATGAATATTTTTCATTATACATCCTGCATGACACATTCATAAATGGCTATTTACAGAGCTGTTTTACTACTAACTTAAAAAAAAAAATAGGAACTTTGAATTACCCTCTGTGCCGCTTTTATTTTAAACATAAAAAACAGTTATTTATTGTTTCTCATTCCTCTGCCATTGAATTCCTTATGGTTTTGATTTCTTTAGAATGCAATGAGGGCAACCGTGGAACACCAGGAAAACTGGCCTTCCCTTACACCAATTGAAGTGATTGTTGTCTTGGGAAAAGAAGATCTGACAATCAAGGTAACCATTTTCTGTTGTTCGTTGGAGTCTCTCTTTTTTTTTTTTAATTTTATTTATTTATTGACACATAATAAGTAAATAAAATCTTTAAAAAAAGATCATAAGTAGGCCTGGGGGGAGGGTTAGGGGAAGAAGCAGGCTCCCTGCTGAGCAGAGAGCCTGATGCCGGGCTCCATGATCATGACCCGAGCCGAAGGCAGAGGCTTTAACCCACTGAGCCACCCAGGTGCCCCTGGAGTGGGGCCCTTCTTCTCTTGAGAGAACGTAAAAGTGTCAGTAATAGTAAAGTGATCTGCTTTGAGCAGCAGATCAAAGTCTATGGTGTACATAGGCCATAATGACTTTTAAATAAAGGAAAAACTTTTTTAGAGGGACAAATCACCTTGTTTTTCACGCATAGCTTTGGTTTGTTTGTTTAAGATTTCAGACAGAGGAGGTGGCGTTCCCCTGAGGATCATTGACCGTCTCTTTAGTTACACGTACTCTACCGCACCGACCCCCGTGATGGATAATTCCCGCAATGCTCCTCTGGTAAGACCAGTTACACGGCTACATTCATCCCAGCCACCTAGTCCTAAATGCAGAGCAAGGATTACAAGGAAGTATTTAGGCAAGTTAGTCAATTTAGTTAAATTGGGCATGGGGGATAGGAGAAAGCAGGAGAAATCAAGCTGAAGAAGGTGAAACAATTTACCGGAGGTCTCTGATTGGAAGCAGAAATCACTTACCTTGGCTCTAGAACATCAGTAGCAAGGAGGCTAATAACACTTGCCTATGTTTTGCACTTCCACGAGCATGTCCACTTCTTTGCCAATAATTGATCTTTTCCCTCTAGGCTGGTTTTGGTTATGGCTTGCCAATTTCTCGTCTCTATGCCAAGTACTTTCAAGGAGATCTGAATCTCTACTCTATGTCGGGATATGGAACCGACGCCATCATCTACTTAAAGGTATCCTTTCAATTCAGTAGAAACAATCATATTTCTATTTTTGTAAAGATTTCATTTGTTTGTTTATTTGAGAGAGGGAAAGAGGGCGAAGGGGCAGAAGGAGAAGGAGAGGAAGAGCTCAAGTGGGCTCCTCAATGAGGGGGAAGCCCGGGACTCCGTCTTATGAGTCCGAGATCAGGACCTGAGCTGAAATCAAGAGCCGGACGCCTTCGCCAGGTGGCTCAGATGATTAAACATCTGCCTTTGAAAAAAAAATAATAGGGGATCCTGGGTGGCTCAGTGGGTTAAAACCGCTGCCTTCGGCTCAGGTCATGACTCCCAGAGTTCTGGGATCGAGCCCCATATCAGGCTCTTTGCTCGGCAGAGAGCCTGCTTCCCTCTGTCTCTCTGCCTACTTGTGATCTCTGTCTGTCAAATAAATAAATAAAATCTTTAAAATAATAATAATAATAATAATAATAATAAATAAAGATTTGCCTTTGGCTCAGGTTATGATCTCGGGGTCCTGAGATCGAGTCCCTCATCAGGCTTCCCTCCCTCTGCCTGCCTCTCTCTCTCTTTCTCTCTGTCTCTCATGAGTAAATAAATAAAATCTTTAAAAAAAAAAAAAAAAAAAAGAGTCAGACGCCCCACCGACTAAGCCACCCCGGTGTCCCGAAACAATATTTCTGAAAGCAATGTTGCTCTTAAGGTCCTGAGTTCCACGCTCCATGGTGTGAATACCTCAAACTGAGTTAATGCAAATAACAACCACATGTCATTTTATTTTCTGTTTGGTATGTGTAGATTTACTCATTAATATTTAATATGGTAACTTACCAGTTAGAAGTGGGACCAGGCTACCTGCTTTAAGTGAAGCAAAATTTTTTCTCAAGAAGCATATTAGTCTCCCAGTGAGGACATCCTCATGTGAATTTCTTAAACCAATGCCTTTTGGCATCTGTGAGAATAGCTGTGCATTTGTTTTACTTAAACTCATGGGAAATATATGCTAATAATGTTCCAGCCTAGAAAACAGCTGATACCAAGATACTCAAGACCTTAAGTTGACCTTATTAGAAATCCAGGGAAGAAAAGCTAACCGCTCACGAGCTGTCACTGGGATGTCTGGCATTTCCTGATTAAACTTTAAAACTTGGCACTTGTTTTTTCTATTTCTGATAAAGCCTCGTTGTATTCGTTAAGGTCACTGTCCTGATTTGTTCATTGTTTTCCAGCAGTTTTGACTGAAAATGTATTTACAGATATTTGTAACTAAAACATTAACCTTGTGGGTTCCCATTTTGTGCAAGGGAATTATGTGCTGAGAGGCCTTTGACTGTCTGAAGTAGTTACTGTATTCATTTCTTAAATGAGCAGAAGTCTTCAAAGTACTGGGAAGGATTAAGAGATGATAGAGTTATAGTATCAGATTTTAATAAATTAATAGTATCAGATTAGGACTCTTTATCACAAATACAAAAGTTTTTGTAAAGAAATAATAGCTTTGCTATTCAGTTCTATCACATCAGCAATATCTGAACAAGGGACAGGTGTAAATATTGGAGACGAATTCTGTTCCCCAATTTATAACTGTGTATATATTATTTTGGCACCTAGAGGATGGAAATAATATTTATTTTTTTCGTTTTCTTTTATACCCTGCCCAGCATACTATGGGCTATGGTGTGCTCTTACTAACTGAATCAACTAAAGGAATGTATTTGACTGTTTGAGTACTTACCTCTGGATTTATTTTAAATAATCACTTCAGGTACAAATTGTGCCACGAATAATTTCTTTGAGTTGACTTTTCTTCCCCTTCTTCTTTTAGGCTTTATCTTCAGAATCTGTAGAAAAACTCCCAGTCTTTAACAAATCAGCCTTCAAACACTATCAGATGAGCATCGAGGCTGACGACTGGTGTATTCCAAGCAAGGAACCAAAGAACTTGGCAAAGGAGAAAGTGGCTCTGTGAAGAGAGTCGCTTGGGACACTTTACGGGATCAAAGTGGGTCTGCGCCAGTGCTGCTTCCTGAATGCTTGCGTGTGAGCTCTTGTTTCCTCAGAAACAAAAGCACAAAAACCTGCTGATCAGAACAGTGGTGCAAAGAGAACGAAGCCTGTTTCTCAGACCCAGGATGTAGGCGTTATTCTTTCAACCTGGCCCGATGTACGAGCTTATATCAAATCCTGAAGCAAGAAAGGCCTGTTTGCCCTGTCTTTGTCAACAAGGATGGGAATGCGAGTGAAGTGGAGATAGAAGCTGGCACTTGCAGTAGACTGCTATTTTAGGGCTGCTGTTGATGGCGTAAGATATTGGTATTTATTGCATATCAGAAGTCACTATGCCAATATTTCCCTGCCATCAAAGGGTTGGGGCTTAGTTTACACTACGTCATTAGAAATGTATATAACGGTACATTTCCTGCGTTTCTATGTTCTCTGGGGAGGAAAAGCTGGTGACTGAATAACATTTACTTTGTATGTTATTTGAATGAAGAAGAATGAGTCGAAACATTTTATTTAAAGTTGTAGCCAAGGCATCCGGCCAGTGTAGAAACTCAGAAGAAAGCCTCTTCTGATAAATACTGTGTCTTCATTAGGCTGCTCTCCTGTTCACACTTCATGTCATAAGTGAACACTTATTGCCAGGTGCCTGCCTAGTCTTGGGTGAGTTTTAAAATAGGCACTGAATTCAGGATGTTGGTGGTTGGAGGGGGAGAAGAATTGCCAAAGTGATAACAAAATTATCTCTCGCCTTGCTTTGTTTATAAATGAGACGGTGGGTTGGAAAAACCAATGTTAGGGAAAGAAATCATGCATTCAGGACCTAACTCAGTAGGAGGGTCTGTTCTCTCCCCTGCAATGGTGGTAATCCAATGATGGCATCCCCTTTCTAGGCTTAAAGAGGTATATTTTTGATATGTGTAATTATATTCTTTACACTCCTGCATTAACATATCTATATAAACAATTCCTAAATATCAAATGGCTCAAGAACATTAGAATTTAAATACTTCTTGGGACAGTTTTAACAAATAGCCTGAGAGTAAGAGGTTTTCATGCCAGGAGGCTTTCATTTGGATCATTGAGACTGAGGACTGATAAACGGAAGTTGTAATGCATATGGAACTTTTGGGGACTTCAAGTATAATAGGCAGGTGGACAGGCCTGTCTAGCACATAATTCTCACAGAATGAAGGACGGGAGGAAGGAAGGAAGGAAGGAAGCGGGGATGGAAGGAAACAGAGGGCAGGCATCTTGCTTTTTCGCCTGCAAAGTATTTCAAGAAATTGTCTATATTTTCATAGATAAGTTACTGGCAAGAGGATGAATTGATGTTTCCCAAAACAGAATGGCTTTTTTAAATGGGTCTCTCACTTTTGCAACATAATAGGCTTTCATAAGATTAAATAAGCTCATCTGTGTCCAACTGATGTGTCAACCAGGATATAGAAAAAAACTAGAATTTTCTGCATTGCAAAAGAATCAGTACTCTTTGTATATGTTGAATTTAACATTTGTGTTTAATTTTGTTGTGACCTAGAATTGTGGTGCTTCTGGTCGTGGCCATAGAGGCCTCAAATGATTTGTTGCTTATGTCAGACTTTATCATGAGAAGTCCTAGAGAGTGACTTTTCTTGATGGTGGAACTCTGGCTCATGCATTTATTGATTACACAAAACTTCTTGCAATAGGTCATTTGACTTTTTACTGACCTTAAACATTTTGCACGTATATACTTGTATTTACCAAAGATTTAAAGCAGTTGATTAAGGAATTAACCCCAACACTGTGAATTATCTTTAAAATACTAGAGAAGAAATGTTCATATCACAATAACATAAACTGTAAATAGAATTCTTTAAGAGAGAAATTGTGTTGGTATTTGTGAAATCTGTAGAAGAGCTTTAGGATTCTAGCAGATGGATACTGAATGTTCAGGCCCACTTAAGTTATTGATGTATAAACTGTGTTTTTGTCTCTATGTACAGAAAGATATAATCATTTTTATAATAAATATTTTTATTATAACAGTAAACATCCTCTTTTGAAATTTGTTTCTCAAATAGATGGCAAAATACTAAGAAACATTTGAGGTAAAGATTTTCTTCACTTTGCACTCAAATCTAATTCATCTCTATATTGGGGATAGCCTTTTAAAAGTATTGAAAGCAACTTAAAATTTTGATTTTTAAACTAAAAGGTAAGTACTTTATAGAAGTCCACAAATTTCTTTTTTTTTTTTTTAAAGATTTTATTTATTTATTTGACAGAGAGAGATCACAAGTAGACAGAGAGGAAGGCAGAGAGAGAGAGAGAGAGAGAGAGAGAGAAGCAGGCTCCCTGCCGAGCAGAGAGCCCGATGCGGGACTCGATCCCAGGACCCCGAGATCATGACCTGAGCCGAAGGCAGCGGCTTAACCCACTGAGCCACCCAGGCGCCCCAGAAGTCCACAAATTTCTGATTGTCTTTTGCTTTCTCATGTATGCCTCAGTTGCACATAGTACACTGTGTGTTTATTACACGAATATATTGAATATATTCAATAATCATTTTTGCCATGTACATATTCTGCATTTTTTTTTTTTTTTGGTAAACTTAAAATTCCACTTGGTGACTGTATTTACGTAATAAATACAGTAAAGTACCAAAATAATTACCTAGATAATTTAGGTTCCCAAACAACTTCTGGATTAAATATCTGAATAAGATAGAAAATATCTGAAAAAAGATAGAAATTACTAAATTAATCTTTACGTTGTCTTTCTTCACTAATTTAATCCTACTTTATCTTTAGATAGCATCCTTTGTCTACCTTCATAATGCCTTTATTGGCAAAGTTCTGTAAATGAAAAAGAGGGAGGGGGAGAGAGGAAAGGAAGAACAAAGAGAGAGAAAGGAAGGAAAGAAAGAGAAAAGAAAATTAGTGGAATGGATTCGTCATAACTAAATTCTAAATTTTGTCAGAGTAAGCATATTCGAATCAGAAATGCCATTAAGCTAAGGCATTAGACCTAAAGAACGTAAAGATACAGTATATCATGACACTCTGCTTGATTGCCTTCATTTCTTCTGTCAGAGAAGTGTGGCACCATGTGACTAAAGAAAGCACATCACACAGGCGCACGCAAACACGTACACACACACACAGAATTTAGCTGTACAGTGTCCTTGGATCAAGCTGCTTGGAAGGTAGACAGCTCATGCACTACACAGGCTCAGAACCTCCATCCACATTTCCATAAAAACTGCAAGACTTTAAATCCCACAATTTCCCATATATGCGTGCGTGCGCACACACACACACACACACACACACACACACACACATACACACACACACACATACACACACATCTTTTTGACTCAAGTCAAAGGATACTAATTTTTTTTTTTTTTAGAATTTATTTATTTGACAGAGAGAGATCATAAGTAGGCAGAGAGGCAGGCAGAGAGAGAGAGGGAAGCAGGCTCCCTGCTGAGCAGAGAGCCTGATGCGGGGCTCGATCCCAGAACCCTGAGATCATGACCTGAGCCGAAGGCAGAGGCTTAAACCACTGAGCCACCCAGGTGCCCCAAAGGACACTAATTTTTGAGTAAAACAAAGTTGGCTAAATTTTCATCAAACCATCTTTATACCATTTCTCCCAAATTTCAAATTTGACTAGAAATGGCAAAAACATTTGATCTTAACTACAATGACATATGCAGAGAGATCTTTGAGAGCTAATAGCTTGGGCATTGACCTTGATAATTCCTTCACTCTCGGCTCTGCTTCCAAGTAGTGCACTTACCCTTAGCTGTGTACCAACACATCAAATGTACATGAACTTTGCCGATCACTTTGATCTGGCCTGGGGAAAGAATTGAGGGACTTTCATAATTTCACAGGATCTTGGCCAAGAAATCCCTAAACCCCCTGCCATGAACACTGAAAGCAGTCAGGTTTTTATTTCCAATAATGTTTTGCCCATATCTCTCTTTTTGATTTTTCACTTTTTATCTTACATCACAGTTACTTGGGCAGTCCATAAACATTCACTGGACAAAGAGATGAATAAACACATAAATCAACTACTGCCTATAAGGACAGCCTCTCTGCATTTAAGGGGAGATTGGAACTCGGTGTTAAAAACAATGTACAGGGGCACCTGGGTGGCTCAGTGGGTTAAAGCCTCTGCCTTCGGCTCGGGTCATGGTCTCGGGGTCCTGGGATCGAGCCCTGCATCGGGCTCTCTGCTCATTGGGAAGCCTGCTTCCTCCTCTCTCCCTGCCTGCCTCTCCTGACTACTTATGGTCTCTGTCTATCAAATAAATAAATAAAATCTTTAAAAAAAAAAAACAATGTACATCAAATTTTATACAATTTTATGCTTTAAATGGTATTCAAGAAGTTTTACAACATTGCAGAACCTCTGGAATACGTCTCCCAAGTTGCAAGTTAAATTGCAACTGATCTTTGTTTAATGTCACTCTTTGTTGGTGCTCTCTGCCCATTGGAAATTATCACATATTTCAAAAGAAATGAAATAACAGGGAAAAGTTATTACTACTAAGGAAATTTCTTGAGCAAATGGGTCAGGGTTTCAGATCTATGAGTACTGTTTCTTCATGTTCACCTTGGACTCAGATGAGAAAATATTAACATCCATATTTCATGACCCCTTAACGGAAATGAACGACTGTCTTTTAATGAGATTTTTCAGTTCCTACCCAAGTGCAAATAAACATTAAAAGCCACTCAAAACCAACAGAAATGTCAGTAGCCTTGAAAACACGTTGAATCTACTAAATGATATGAAATAGATGTGAGCTGTCTTAGTGACAAATTCAGCAAGAAAATGATAAAGTTTATCAATGCGTTATGAGACATCATTTTCATGTTTACTGCTACCATTTAATGTAATGAAAGTAACTCGGGACTGGTTGTCGAATAATGCAATATAGCTAGGAATTATTTATTAGCATACTCTTTTCATAAATGTAAAAGGGTGTTTTAATATATAAGACAAGTAACATATCGGATAGCAAAGTCTTGAGGTTTTTTTTTTTAATCGATTCCATTAAAGCTATGCCTTTTAATGTTTTTCTAGCCCCAAAATATACTTTGACAGCTGGTAGAATTGCCCTTAATTCAGTCTTTTTCTTTTAAACTCATTTTAAAGGATAACAACACTTGTTTGAAATTACAAATTTGTGATCTGGAAATAAAATAAAAACTTGAAAACAAAAATAAAAGCCTCATACCGTGCTCTTAGGCAATTCTCTTTACCTATTTCCTTACAAAGGAGAAGATAGCAATAAAGTACCGTCTTTCTGATACAAAGTCCTATAGTGCGAACCCACAATATCAATGATAGTAACACATTTGCTCTCATATACCCTATTGCCTGATTATGACCCCGGAGTTAGGTTGTTAGACCAAAGTATGCTTTGTGACCCAAAACTGCTGAGCTAGACTGAAACCTCTTCAGGCAGGAATCAAATGAAGACCAAAGACCTTGACCTCTTTGGTAATGCTGTCCAACCAAAAACTGGGTGGATGGTGGTGCCATGTGTTACCTAACGAGGTCTATTAACCCTTTCAGGTCCCTTTGCGATCACTGCACAAGGCTGCCCCTTCCTGAATATGGGGCAGAAGCCGGCTTGCTGCACATTATCAGTAAACACATAGATGGCTTAACGCACACTTTGCCCAAAGCATACTCTCAGTAATTGTTTGTCGAGTGGATAAAAAGAGACTTGAGCCATTAAAGTAACACTCAGGCTTCAGATGTTCCGAGCAGCCTCTTTCCCCTCCTAAATATTATATTTCATCTTGTGAAAGCAGACCTCCAAATGATAATAAAAACAAACACTAAACATAGTTTTCAAAGAGCCTTTGGAAACAGTTCTCTGGCTGGCTGGGAAGTAGAGAATGTTTTCCTGCTTTTTTTTTTTTTTTTCTTAGAGTGTTTGACAATAGTTCTTTGTAACTAAAAAATATATCCTGCCTTCTGTATAAATCAGATGTGATTCTTATTTTTACACAATCCAGATTGTTCCAGGCAGGATTTCACTTACCGTGCACTACTCTGGGGATAGTTTGTGGGATACAACTTGCCACTGAACCTGAAGAAATTATTTCTTAACCAAAGAATCTATAGGTTAAAACGTTGACTTGATCTTTTAAACTATATTTTTCATTGGCCACAACTTTTTTTCATATTCATTGTACTTTTTTCTTCTCTCTCTGAACCCTTTCTAAATTGAATATTACATGGGCAA